CTCTAAATAAGAAGGAATGCTGTTTCAGCATTATACCTTGGAAGTACCTAGTGGCCTACAGGAAACTGAGATGGTGTAGCTGTTGCTAGTCTTACTCCTGCCTTGCTTGCTGACTTATCAGTTAGAAGTTTGACATCAAATTAAATTAAACTCTGCACATCCAGAAGCGAGTGAGCTCCAATTTCTACACCTTATTGGTTTGCATGATGGCATGGTTTAACAATGGATAATAATCTACCGGTAATTTTGGTGCAAAATTATTTTGTAGACATTGAACCCCACCAACAGATGCACAATACCCAAACTTCTCTTGGTCTTTAGTGCCTTACTTTGACATTTTCATTACAAGATAAAAGCTTGTCTTGACTTTTCCCCACTCTGCACACAGTTTTAACATAAATATTTCTGTCATTTGTTTCTATAAAAGTTGCTTAAAAACTTGGTCGAAAGAAGGAGAATGGTGAAGTCTTGGCTGAAGACAGCATCTGGCCTCAAGGCCCAACAGTTCGACATACAGCAGCAAGCCCTTAAGCTCACAGCAAACAGGTTGATATTTCTTGTTGATTATTTTTAGTCTAATTTTAAATTGTGAAGCATTATCTTAAGTTTCCTATTTAGTTTTATTAAAAAAAAAGTTTCCTATTTGGTCACATTAATTAATGTATTTGTTATTTCTGCATTATATCTTGTGCAGTATGTATGGATGCCTGGGTTTTTCAAACTCAAGATTTTATGCAAAGCCCCTTGCAGAACTTATAACATTGCAGGTAAGATGCTCTTTAATTGTATTGCAGAAGCTGCCTTACAATATGTTCTCTAAATAGCCATTGACAATGCTACAATTTCTATGTAGGGAAGAGAGATTTTGCAAAGTACTGTTGATCTTGTGCAGAACACGCTGAACTTGGAGGCAAGACCTTTAATTTTGCTCATTGTTTTATTCTTATAGCAATTCTATCACTATATGTCTATATTTCATGTCTCACGTCATATCTGATAGGTTGTTTTCATCCTTGGCAGGTCATCTATGGTGATACAGATTCAATCATGATATATAGTGGGCTTGATGATATAGCAAAGGCCAAAGCCATTGCTGGAAAAGTCATCCAAGAGGTGACATGAATATTCTAAGAATTAGTCTTATTGATATTCCTTATAATGAACAGGATTTATTTGTTTTATGTTGGAATATGTGTTGCAGCATTCATTTAATGGATTAGCCATATTGTTTGAACTCTTTTCATGGGAGATATGTTTTAGTGCTTTTCTTTGTGTTGTTTCAAATTCCAGTTTTACAGTATGTTTGAGTGAGTGACATATACATTACATTTGGTTGGATATAAATTTAGGATGGGGAGAAAAAAAAATAATTGGAGGGATCTATTCAATTTTCATCTCTTTCTAAACAGTCCATTCTCTCTTCTCCTGTGCTATTCTCTCCTCTGCTCCTCTCCTCTCCCATCCCCTTGTTTATCCTCTCTTCCTCTTCCATTTCCTTCCCCGGACCCTTGTTATGTAAAATCTATACGCACTGACAGGAAAATATGCCTACTGAAGTGAGCTTCTGAAAGGCAGCAATATGTGCTGCTTTGAACTGCCACTTCCTGCTTGTTACTCTTCTTTTCAGTTTTGTTGCTGAGCCTGATGTATTCCCTTTTTTTTATTTTTATTTTTTTTTTCAGGTTAATAAGAAATATAGGTGTTTGGAAATTGATCTGGATGGGTTGTACAAGAGGATGCTACTCCTTAAGAAGAAAAAGTATGCGGCTGTCAAATTGCAATTCAGGGATGGAAAACCATATGCGGTATCTCTAGTAACCTTCTTGAAAATATGAAGTGAGGCCGTTCCAGTATGCAAAGTAAAATACTAAAATTTAATGTTTGTTATAGGTAATTGAACGGAAGGGCCTTGATATGGTACGTCGTGATTGGAGCTTGTTATCAAAGGAAGTTGGGGACTACTGCTTGAGTCAGATACTTTCTGGAGGGTATAGTTGTGCTTCTATCTTAATGATTCCTTTAATTTTTTTTCCCCTTCTGATTTTTGATATTATTTAATTCTAATAGCAAAAAACAAAGTGATTGCACCTTTATATAGTTTTAAGATATCAGCCTAAATTATGCTTTTCCTTGCAGATCCTGTGAGGATGTTGTGGAGTCGATACATAGTTATCTTATGAAGGTAATAGAAAGACCTAAATTTTTGTTGGCCAGTGATGAATTAACGAAAATAGAAAATTAGAAATTGATCTTCCAGATTCACTGCTGCACTGACATAATATTTATCTCTCTAATGATAAAGGCTGCAGAAATTCAATGTTTACTTTAGAAAACTCAGTAGTTCTATTCCTCTCAAATTAATGGAGATTCAAGTTAGGTTCTAGAGTTCTGTAATATTAGGTCCTTTGTCAATATGACAATAAACAGGAAAACAATAAGTAGTCAAGTACGAATGGCTCTTGGATATTTCAGTGAAAATCTAATGTCTTCTGGGTCCCAACAGGTGCAAGAGGAAATGAGGAAAGGAGAAGTACCTCTTGAAAAATATATAATCACAAAGTCATTGACCAAACAACCTGAAGCTTATCCTGATGCAAAAAATCAACCACATGTTCAGGTGATTATTGTTGACATCTCTAGCTCAGCTATGTCTTTCCTTTAATGATGAAATATATATGTACAATTTATGGAATATTATTGCAATCCTGACTGCTTATGTTTTAATAGGTGGCACTGAGATTGAAACATAATGGTTATACTGCTGGTTGTTCCTCAGGGGACACAGTTCCATATATTATATGCTGTGAGCAGGTTTGTTTAACTTACATTTTTTACTAAATTGAAGAACATTAAGCGCTTTGGGCTTTAGTACACTATGGATGCCAGCTAATTGCATCTGTATCTTTGTTTTGACAGGGTACTACTTCAGGAACATCTGGTGGTATTGCTCAGCGAGCTAGACATCCTGATGAATTGAAAACAGAAAATTTGACATGGATGATCGACATCAATTATTACTTGTCCCAACAGGTTTCTTTTTGATTTTTTCACCTCAATGAAAAACATTGTCTTTTCAGTCTTCATCAGATTTGAAGCGTCGAGTTTGTCTTTGCAGATTCATCCAGTGGTTTCACGTTTATGTGCATCCATCCAGGGTACAGACCCTGCACGTCTGGCTGACTGCCTGGGGCTTGATTCAGCCAAGGTAATAGTTGACGTAGACTGCTAATTGCTTATGCTGCTATAATACAATGCCCTTATTTGCTTTATGTTACTGACTTTCAATTTATGTGTTCAGTTTCAAAGTAAATCTGACCTCAGCACCGGCAATGATCCTTCAAGCTCACTTTTGAGTTCTGTTGATGATGAAGACAGGTATTCAATTGTAGTCACTTGGCCTCTATTTTTAGTTTTAATAATGCTGAATATTTGTTAAGACTTTCCATGAATATGAGGTTTTTTTAATCCATTGTTTCAAAGTTGATTGAAATCAAAGGCTGTTGTTGAACTATTGTTTTTGAAATAGCAGTAAAATTCACTTATGGTACTGTTTGAGCATGTAGTTCCATTGTTACCTCAACATCAATTACTCAGGACTTCATTGAGACCATTAATCAACTTTCTTTCTAGAGTAATATATTACTGATCTGATGGATTAGTAAATTAGTTGTATGGTCAGTAAATTGATTGTGTATTGATGTCTTCTGCAGATACCAGGACTGTGAACCTTTAATATTGTCTTGCCCTAGCTGTTCTGGCTCTTTTGACTGCCCAAGCATCTTTAGTTCCCTATGTAAATCTGTCGCAGAAAAGCCCAATGAAGCACAGCCAGAAAAATCTACTAGCAAATTCTGCCACAGGTTGCGCTGCCCCAAGTGTCCAGAGGAAGGGGATGTTGGTCAAATATCTCCAGCAATGATTGCCAATCAGGTGGCTCGAACTTTCTAGCGTAACTTAACATTTGTAATTTTCAAAGAGTGTTTTTGTGCGCGCAAAACTTTATTGTTATTGAAATGATCTTCTGACATTTCCAGGTGAAGAGGCAAGCAGATGGGTTCATCTCAAAATACTACAGGGGTTTAATGACGGTAAATACACCTCTAGGTTATTTCTCTATATGGAATAAAAGGTTTTGTGATCTATCTGAAGTATTGTTTTTTGTAGTGTGATGATGAAACTTGCAAGTATACAACTCGTAGCTTAAACTTGCGGGTGATAGGTGATTCTGAGAGGGGAACTGTTTGTCCAAACTACCCTCGATGTAATGGCCGTCTAGTAAGAAAGGTATTAACCAGTCTTGTACTGTGAACTAAAATATCAGATACAACTTTCTGACTCTCACTAATGCATTAATCTTTATCAACAGTATTCAGAAGTAGATTTATATAAACAGCTCACGTATTTCTGCCATATACTGGATACTGTTCGTTGCATTGAGAAGGTATGTCCTTTGATTACTGTTCTTCTTTCTGCTCTTTAAAGTTTGAACTGAGTTTACTCATTTACTTGAGAACCTGCAGATTGACGGTGCTGCAAGACCACCCTTTGAAAAGGAGCTTATTAGAATCAGACCCCTAGTTGACTCAGCGGCTATTGCTGCTCAGAAGTTACGAGATCGCTGTGCTTTTGGATGGGTGCAGCTGAATGACCTCTTTGTTACGCTCTGCACCTAAAGGCTGTATGCCTACTCATTAATCTAAATCTTGTCAGTTTAGATCTTGTAAATATTTGTATAGGCATGTCATTTTAGTAACTTGCAACACTTTAGAAAAGAGGTACTTTGTGTATTGGGATACTTTAGCATCTCATGTCACAGAAGAAATAACCTAGACTGTATACGGTAATTCATAATTATTCCATTGGATGACCAAGCTGTAGAATTCGCTAATGTAGCATTACGAACAATATTTATGAAAATTGAAATACATGACAGGTACAAGATTATGTAGACATCTAAATAATTTTTTCCTAAGCAATGGATCTAAGAGATTAAAGCTTGATAAAAGCAAAACATGTTCAAAGATTAAGTTTAATATTGACTATTGAGTAACAAATTTCTAAGAAATATGTTCAATGTTTAACATAAACTTATATGTAGAAATTAGATACGAAGTACGACAAAAATCTGGAATGCTGCATACTGACAAATTAATTAATATACCAGTTAAGCTTCAACTTCTCGCCATATGTAAGTAGCTTCAACTCTGCAAGCCTTAAGCTGCTGTGCAAATAATACAATGTCCTGAAGTTATATTGCTCACTTGATTCTAAAGAACAATAATATTATTACTCTAAATCTGAAAAAATACTAAAGAAAAACAAAATTTCTAGCAACATGTTAAAAAATATGGGGGACGAAGTAAACAACTATAAATTTAACTGAAAGATAATATTTAAAAAGTTAGCAAAACTATCCAAAAAAAAGCAACTATAACTTAAAATGTACACATGAATTATGAGTTTCTTGCATTTGGCACAATACTCCTAAATTTTAAATGATTGCTACTCTGTCTTCAATACCTCGGTGCATAAATTCGCCTACCCTTGAAGCAACTTCATTGTAATTCACCAACAGGTGCTTCATTTAGCCATAAGAAATGAATGAAGTCATAGAGCTTTGCACTTACACTCACCTGCATCCAAACGCACAAACATCAGTATATTATAACAGTCAATGAACTCTCTAATCATACAAGAAAATAAAGGATGTCAAGGCTACCTTGTATGGAGTAGGATTCAATCTCCTCATGTGGTCAGGGCGCATTTTCTCCAGCTGCCTTATGCACCGATCTCTGATGTCCTTCAGAGGTAACATATCTTCTCTCGTTTTAGCTGCATGAAACAAATATCATTTAAAAAACTTTCAGGCAACTAAGTATTGCACAATGAAGCCCACTCTCTGGATACAGTTAAAAGTACTATCATGTGATCCATGAGAAAATAAGAGCATTTCCTTCATGCATATGCAGTCATTGTTCTTGAATTATAGCTATTTGTAGCAAAGGAACACTCAGTTCAAATGGATAACAAATGATTGCATATGATGAAGAGGAACAGACTGGAAGCTCACCTGAGCTACCTCTCCAGTAACATTTCAATAGCTCCTCGACTCGCTGGGGCACCACATAAGCCCTTTTGGACTCATTGAATGGATGACGGCAGAGAATTCTCTCTCCCATCTGTCAGCCAAAACACAAATTTGATTACTTCTCACTCAGGGGGAAACATCAAAATTGGAGAAACTTTTACATAATTTTTTAGTTCTTCCACTCCATAAAAAGCTACGTAGTGGCAAGGGGAAAGCCATCTAAAGGCTGACTCAATATGATCTCAAGTTTCCAATAAAAAAAATGGCATTATCAGTAAGTTTTATAATGCTTTCACAAATCAAAGGTTAGCAAGGCAGAAGACTGAAGGATGTGAAGATGATGCATTAATAAATTGTTCCTTGACTATTAGGTCATTAACTTCAAGTTGCATGCATAGTTAAACAAAAAAAGATCCCAATATCCATTATTATTTTTCATTTTCCTGAGGGGGTGGGGCTGTCCATCTTTTCTTTAGGAATGTTGTAAAGCTACTGGGTTAGCTCTTTTAATAAAAGTTAAAAGAGATAACACTGAAAGCAATAAACAGATTTAATGAGAGAGTGAGAGAAGGGAGAGGTGTGTGTGTGTGTGTTGGGGGGGGGGGGGGAATATTAAGAGAGATTTGGTTGCTTATCAGTCACCTCATACCTTTGGAGCAGGTTCATTTTCTCCTATCATCAAATCAACCAACGGGTATCCTTCTTTCCCGTACAATCTGTAACATTGTTTTTTACAAGGAATGGATACCTAGATAATACATACAAAAAGAATTACAAAGCTTCTCAAAAATAACATTTCATCCCCAAAATTAGTAGAAAGCACAAACCTACCTTGGAAACATCTTCAGATAACTTCATACGGGGCTGGTTATTAATCTCAACAAGCTTGAAGACACAACCTAATGCAGCTTGAGCGTAGCATGTAACAAGATAGGTTCCTATTCCAAATGCATCAACTTGATGACCCTGTCTATGCGAAATCAATCCAAATAAAAACAGAAGGAAAAAAGAGTAAAATATTGCAGATTGCTAGACAGATAATACAAAGCAATAGCTTTGTGAATAAAAGACTCCAACAACTTTTAATAGAAAGAAGGCTAAAAATCTGTATGCCCTTTTTTAATTACAGGGTCAGGAAGGTTTTCAAAGGACTCTAAAAATAAAAAATGAGGTATTCAATCACCCAGAGAATTGAAAGCAGACCTGACACATTCTAAGAAGCAGAAATAAGTCGGGAAGATTCAAAAGAGGGTATGGCAAATGCACCTGAAGATTATAAGGACCCTGTACCCTCAGTGAAGTTCCTACCTTATAGCACCCTAAGATGGTGGAATGCATTAAAATCTACTTCTGGAACAGCAGAGACTTGAGAGGCCAAGAAAACGTAAATCACATTATATGTTTCTCAGATTAGGATAGTAAAAAAAAATGCTATTTGAGCAAGAACAAATAGAATGTAGCACCCAAGGACAAGGCATACAAACAACTAGATTTGTCGTTTGAGGGCATGCCATCGTTGCCTTAAGACATGGTGATTAAGGATGAATGAGATGGTTCAGGGCATCATCCATGACTCCCAAGTCCCTTTGGGAAGCCATGGAAGTACATGGATGCATAATCTTGAAGGGTGAAAAAAGAATGTACGGAAGCCAAATTTGAAGGCTATAATTCACGAAATCGGAGAAATTTAGTAGGTGTCCGGACCCAGTGTCAGAAATTCACGGAAATTTATGTGATGCATTTCAAGGTCATATGAGGTTGTTTGGACCCATACAACCATAATCCGGCTACATAAAGATCCCATGGAAGCCTATAGCCAATACAAGAGTCGTGTATGGAAATTGGTAAATTGGATGCTTAAAGGCAAATTGGATGGTTCCACCCACCCAATTGAACTCCCGGAGGATATTTGGATATTAGGGTCTGTAGGTAGCTTCTCGTCAATTTTTGTTTGCGGGTCCAAAAAAGTAAAAAATTGGCAAAATTGAATACTATAATATACACTTGTTGGCCAATTTTGGAGGTTTCGGGACCTGGTGTCGAAAACCCTTGAGATACCAGGGGATACATCCCAAGGTCATATAATGTCGTTTGGAACCATATATGATCATTATATGTTACCTTGGGTTGAGAGAGACTTTTTAGGCCATAAGCGATAGGGCAGTGCTAGATCTATAAGAAGAGCTCAAATAGGAGAGAAGAAACCAAAAAAGGGAATTCAACCCTTATCTCACGGGAGGAGTGAAAAAAGTCTCAAGACAAAAGAAATAGACACTCATCCGAATAATAAAGCCACTGGAATGAGTTAACTACGAATGCGGGATGGACCACTTCGGACATAGGCATTGTTCCCTACTAAGGCTATTAGATTACACCAATTTCATCCGAGAAAAGAAAGAAAAACTCACAGAATGCTAAGTAGTTGATTACGATAAGTCACCTAGCCAAATCGTTGGGGTGTGGGATGGTGCAAGGGGGCGTTTGGCATGTGCAGAAGACATGTGCACCCAAGGACAAGGCATACAAACAACTAGTTTTGTCATTTGAGGGCATGCCATCGTTGCCTTAAGACATGGTGATTAAGGATGAATGAGATGATTCCATCATCCATGACTTCCAAGGCCTTTTGGGAAGCCATGGAGGAACTTGAATACATAATCTTGTCGGGTTAACAAATAATGTACGGAAGCCAAATTTGAAAGCAATAATACACAAAATCGGAGCAATTTAGTAGGTGTCCAGACCCGGTGTTAGAAATTCACGGAATTTTACGGGATGCATTTCAAGGCCATATGAGGTTTTTTGGACCCATATACAACCATAAGTCAGCTACATAAATATCCCGTGGAAGCCTATAGCCAACACAAGAGGCGTGTACGGAAATTGGTAAGTTGGATGCTTAAAGGCAAATTGGATGGTTTCACTTACCCTATTGGACTCCCGGAAGGTATTAGGGGGTCTGTAGGTAGCTTCTCGTCAATTTTTGTTTCCGGGTCCAAAAAAGTCAAAAATTGGCAAAATTGAAGGCTATAATACACGCTTGTTAGCCAATTTCAGAGGTTTCGGGACCTGGTGACGAAAACTCTTGAGATACCATGAGATACATCCCAAGGTCATATAATGTCATTTGGAACCATATATGATCATTATATGTTGTCATACGTTATTTACTACAAGAAGGATTAGAGGATAGTACCTTGGATTGAGAGTGATTTTTTAGGTCATAAGCGATAGGGCAGTATTAGAATTATAAGAAGAGTTTAAGGAAGAGAGAAAACCAAAAAAGGGACTTCAACCCGTATCTCACTAGAGGAGTAGGAGTGAAATAGTCTCATAATAAAATAAATTGACACTCATCCGAATAATAAGGCCACTCGGGAATGGGTTAACTAAGAATGCGGGATGGACCACTTCTGGACATAGGCATTGTTCTCTACTAAGGCCATTAGATTACACCAACTTCATCCGAGGAAGGAATGCAAGACTCATAGAATGCAAAGTAGTGGATTGAGACAAGTCACAAATCCAAATCGTTGGGGGTGTGGGATAGTGCAATGGGGCGTGTGGCATGTGTAGAAGACATGTGCACCCAAGGACAAGTCATACAAACAACTAGTTTTGTCGTATGAGGGCATGCCATCGTTGCCTTAAAACATGGTGATTAAGGATGAATGAGATGGTTCTGGGCATCATCCATGACTCCCAAGGCCCTTTGGGAAGCCATGGAAGTACATGGATGCATAATATTGCAGGGTGAAAAAATAATGTACGGAAGCCAAATTTGAAGGCTATAATACACGAAATCGGAGCAATTTTGTAGGTGTTCAGACCTGCTGTCAGAAATTCACGAAATTTTACGGGATGCATTTCGAGGTCATATGAGGTTGTTTGGGCCCATATATAACCATAAGGAGATCCCGTGGAAGCCTATAGCCAATATAAGAGGCGTGTACGGAGTTGCTTAAAGGCAAATTGGATGGTTCCACCCACCCACCCAATTGGACTCCAGGAGGGTATTAGGGTCTGTAGGTATTTTCTCGGCAATTTTTGTTTCTGGGTCCAAAAAAGTCAAAAATTTACAAAATTGAAGGCTACAATACACGCTTGTTGGCCAATTTCGGAGGTTTCTAGAAATGGTGTCAAAAAGTCTTGAGATACCAAGAGATTCTTCCCGGGTCATATAATGTCGTTTGAAACCATATATGATCATTATATGTTGCCATACGTTATTTCCTACAAGACAGATTAGAGGATAGTACCTTGGGTTGAGAGAGACTTTTTAGGCCATAAGCGATAGGGCAGTGCTAGATCTATAAGAAGAGCTCAAATAGGAGAAAGGAAACCAAAAAACGGAATTCAACCCTTATCTCACCGGAGGAGTGAAAAAGTCTCAAGACAAAAGAAATAGACACTCATTCGAATAATAAAGCCACTCGGGCATGAGATAACTAAGAATGCGGGATAGGCCACTTCTAGACATAGGCATTGTTCCCTCCTGAGGTTATTAGATTACACCAATTTCATCCGAGGAAGGAATGAAAGACTCACAAAATGCTAAGTACTGGATTGAGACAAGTCACAAAGACAAAGTGCTGGGGGTGTGGGATGGTGTAAGGGGGCGTATGGCATGTGCAAAAGACATGTGCACCTAAGGACAAGACATACAAACAACTAGTTTTATCGTTTGAGAGTATGCCATCATCGCCTTAAGACATGGTGACTAAGGATGAATGAGATGGTTCTGGGCATCATCCATGACTCCTAAGGCCCATTCGGAAGCCATGAAAGTACTTGGATGCATAATATTGCCGGGTGTAAAAATAACGTACGCAAGCCAAATTTGAGGGCTATAATACACGAAATCGGAGCAATTTAGTAAGTGTTCGGACCTGATGTCAGAAATTCACGGAAATTTACGGGATGCATTTCAAGGTCATATAAGGTTGTTTGGACCCATATACAACCATAAGCCGGCTACATAAAGATCCCATGGAAGCCTATAGCCAATACAAGAGTCGTGTATGGAAATTGGTGAATTGGATGCTTAAAAGCAAATTGGATGGTTCCACCCACCCAATTGGACTCCCTGAGGATATTAGGGTCTGTAGGTAGCTTATCGTCAATTTTTGTTTGCGGGTCCAAAAAAGTCAAAAATTGGCAAAATTAAATACTATAATACCCACTAATTTCGGAGGTTTCGGGACCTGGTGTCGAAAAGTCTATATACATCCCAAGGTCATATAAGGTCGTTTGGAACTATATATGATCATTATATGTTGCCATACGTTAGTTCCTACAAGACGGAATAGAGGATAGTACCTTGGGTTGAGAGAAACTTTTTAGGCCATAAGCGATAGGGCAGTGCTAGATCTATAAGAAGAGCTCAAATAGGAGAAAGGAACCAAAAAAAGGGAATTAAACCCTTATCTCGGGCATGGATTGACTAAGAATGCGGGATGGGCCACTTCCAGACATAGGCATTGTTCCCTCCTGAGGTTATTAGATTACACCAATTTCATCCTAGGAAGGAATGAAAGACTCACAGAATGCTAAGTAGTGGATTGAGATAAGTTACAAAGCCAAAGTGTTGGGGGTGTGGGATGGTGTAAGGGGGCGTGTGGCATATGCAAAAGACATGTGCACTGGACAAGACATACAAACAACTAGTTTTATCGTTTGAGTGTATGCCATCGTTGCCTTAAGACATGGTGACTAAGGATGAATGAGATGGTTCTGGGCATCATCCATGACTCCCAAGGCCCTTTCGGAAGCAATGGAAGTACTTGGATGGATAATCTTGCCGGGTATAAAAATAACGTATTCAAGCCAAATTTGAAGGCTATAATACACAAAATCGAAGCAATTTAGTAGGTGTTCGGACCCGGTGTCAGAAATTTACGTGATGCATTTCAAGGTCATATGAGGTTGTTTGGACCCATATACAACCATAAGCCGGCTACATAAAG